TTCTTTCTTGTAAATTCACAAAACTTTGGAAGGAAACACAATAAATTTTTGCTTTCACATGGCTTGATCTACCTCTTTGCCTTTGAAGTGCCTTTGAAGTGTATGTCTAACTCCCTGTGAGAGTATCCTGGGCCGCCTAGCCCTCTTTCACAAAACAAACCAGGCAGTGGTCAGCAGTTACCTTTATTTGGACCAGAGACACTACTCGAGCAATACTGCCAACAATCAGACCAACATGACCTGTGAGCACAAACAGACAAAAAGAGGAAACCAAACAGGAACAGTTTCCATTTTCCATGTGTGTTCCCAGGTTTTTGTTTGCTTTTTGAGTTGGCCTTGAATATGAATTCAGAGGAAGCTAAGGAATACCAAGTACTATACCATGAAGAGATCCTACATTTACACAACAGATGTGTCATGTCCAGCTGCCCCTTGGCTTCAACAGAGAAAAAGCCCAGAAAGATGAGGAAACTATTAGGAAGGGTGAAATTATCTCTCAGGAAGCACACTTCCAGATCAGGTTGGAGATATCAGGCCTCAAGGTAAAGGGACTTATGTCAGGTGTCCTGTAAAAGCACAGAAGACTGGGCACCTGGGTGGCTCAGTCAGTTGAGTCTGCTTTCGGCTCAGGTCAAGATCCCAGGGTCCTGGGATGGAGCCCTGCATCGGGCTCCCTGCTCCACGGGAAGTCTGCTTCTCCCTCTCCCTCTGCCCCTCCCCCTGCTTGTGCTCTCTCCCTCTCTCTCTTTCTCTCTCTCAAATAAATAAATAAAATCTTTAAAAAATATATAAATAAATAAAAATGAAATTTAAAAAAAAAACATAGAAGGCTAAGGTTTGGAACGAGAATAAATAAGGAGTGTTAAAAAAAAAATCTATTCTGGGCTGACCTGTTCAAGACAGAAACAAAACACATTCCAGTTTAACCCATTTCTGACTGAAAGTCATACCAGGGCTGACTCTCTAGGAAAAGTAAGTTTAAACCTCTTACAGGGGCGCCTGGCTGGCTCAGTTGGTAGAACATGGGACCCCTCGATCTCAGGGTGACAAATCTGACCTTCACTTTGGGTATAGAGATTACTTAAAAATAAAGTCCTTAAAAATAATGAATTAATTAATTAGAAAAAAAAAACAACCTCTTGCACAATACTTTTCCTCCAGGGGTGGGGGCAAGAAAACATGATATTGGGGCACCTGGGTGGCTCAGTCGTTAAGCATCTGACTTTGGCTCAGGTCATGATCCCAGTATCCTGGGATCGAGCCCCGCATTGGGCTCCCTGCTCCGCGGGAAGCCTGCTTCTCCCTCTCCCACTCCCCCTGCTTGTGTTCCCTCTCTCGCTGTGTATCTCTGTCAAATAAATGAATAAGGGGCGCCTGGGTGGCTCAGTCGTTAAGCGTCTGCCTTCGGCTCGGGTCATGGTCCCAGGGTCCTGGGATCGAGCCCTGCATCGAGCCCTGCATCGAGCCCCGCATCAGGCTCCCTGCTCCGCGGGAAGACTGCTTCTCCCTCTCCCACTCCCCCTGCTTGTGTTCCCTCTCTCGCTGTGTCTCTCTCTCTGTCAAATAAATAAATAAATAAATAAAATCTTTAAAAAAAATAAATGAATAAAATCTTTTAAGAAAGAAAGAAAGAAAGAAAGAAAGAAAGAAAGAAAGAAAGAAAGAAAGAAAGAAAAAACATGATATCGTTTTTAACGAATGTTAAAGAGGCATAATTTTGAGTTTAAAAGTGGCCTGAAAAATCCCGCTCTTCATTTCGCCAATTAGTGATATGCTGTAGAAAATCATGAGTCAGGGGTTCAGTCACATGTATATTGTGGGTCAAGTGACTCACGAGCATTCCAAACAGACCATGTTTCTTGGAAGTCTATGCAGTTTCTGATCTGGTCCTGCTCGCGATGGAGCTTGGGCACACAGTGAGGTATTGGGCACTGCTTCCCAATAACCTCGCCCACAGCCCTCTGTCCATCCTCCAGTGACACGTCCGTAGAAGGTGAGGGTTCGACGTGGCTCCTGCCAGTGCCTTCCTCCTGTGTGCTGCTGCTGGTGTGTTTCAAAAGCTCCTGAAGACATAGATTCTGAGCGGTTTTCCTCACACTGGGTCCAACAGGAAACTGCCCCATGGGCATCTCCACCCTGGGCCAGTGGTTATTTCTCTCTTCTTTTTCTTTCTTTTCTTTTCTTCTCATACTTGTAGGAGGAGCTCTGCAACACAAAAAGCAGAAGCATACGAATGAGAAAGTAGGAGGCAGAGACACACAGAAGGGTTAGATGTTCATGGGAAGTCTTAGGTCTTTGTCCTTTGAAACCACCGGCTGCAGAGAAGGCCTCAAATAAATGTGGAGAGAGCGGAATTCGAGTTGTCACGGTGTGAACCTGAGTAGAAGGGGGTGCGGATCCCCTTGCAGCCTCATTTGGAGAAGCCTCATTTGGAGAAGGCATATGTGGCAATGGGAAAGAAAGCAGCTGAAACAGAAGCTGGCAAAACAGTCAGGACTTAAAGCACGCTGGGCGGTCCCGTAGCAGAAAGTCTTTGAACTCCTCAGGAATCCTCTGCAGCAGGTTTCTCAGGTGAGCCCAGAGAGAGTTCTTGGGGCACCACCTGCAGGTCAAAGAGGGAGAGCGCTGGGCGTGGGAGAGGAGGGTAGAGGCCCATCTCAGTAGCCACTCCTGGGCAGCGCTGGTACTGAGAGCCCCCATCATCCGCTGGTTGGGGCCTAGCAGAAGCCAAGGCTGCACTCACCGAGAATGCCCAGGAGCGACGTGGGCCTCAGCCTGCACTGCATCCCAGGACTCCGAGCATTGTTAACTAAGGGAAGTTCAGACAAAGTAAGGAGACAGAGCCAGGGAAGAGATCTGCACAACTCCAAGGCATCGGTACTTTTCCAGGTATAGACGTGCAGATAAGCAGAAAGAAGGCTAGAAAGCCAACAGAAAAAAATGGACAACGGATATGAACAGACAGTTCGCGGAAGAGGGAACCACCATGACTGCCAAGGCCAAGAAGAGCTATTCAAATTCCCCAGTTGTCAGAGGACCCAGATGGAAATTAGTAACCACTTTAGATTCATCAGATTAGTAAGCATTTGAAAGCTGGAATACCAAGTGCTAAGAGAAAACCAGAACCCTCATGGTGAGTGTGACAATTCATCCAGCCACCCGGGAGAGCATCTTGGGTGCTTTGTGAAGTCAAGGGTATGTGTACCCTGTAGCCTGGAAGTCCTACTTCAAGAATTCTCCCACCATCCATAAGGAGGTAGCATAAAGGTGTTCATGGCACTGATGTGACAGGGGCATTGAGGCCAAGCTAAGCGTGCATCCCTGAAGGGTGTGGTGGGTAATAAACGTGCTTGCTGGATGCTCAACATGGTACAGTATATGCGACTGGTAGAAGCAATGAATGAGACGCATATGGAAACCATGAGTGTTGAGTGTAAAAAATGCAAAAATGTAAACAGAATGAGTTTTATACACGACACCATGTTTGACATCCACATAGGAGCCAAGCCACGTGTAGTAGAGAACTGGGCAGGGTGCATGGAAGCTGACTGCACACACTGAGACAGCCCTGGTTTTTAGCGGTGACGTGTCATAAACTGAGAAGTAGGACTGATTCGACTCTGTCCGTGAGGTCATACAATGAAGTGTGGTGGGTGGAGGATGAGCACCCCGGGGAGCTAGATGAGCTTGGCTCCCCAATTCTACCACCCGTAAGCATTTGAGATTTTGGCAAAGCATTCGTTCATTCATTTCATCCACAAATATTTAAGGAGCCTCTACTCAGTGACAAACACTGTTCTAGGCACTGTGGACACAGTGGTGAATAAAACCGTGTAAAGTAAGTTAAGTTAAGGTAAGTGCTGTGTAATGTGAAACTGACTTTAGACTGTATAGTCAGGGATGGCACCCGTGAAAGGTGACATTTGAACAGGGACACAGATGATAAAGACCCAGTTGTGAAAGAGCATGGTCAAGTGCTTTCCGGGTATAGGGAACAGCATGTGCAAAGGTCCTCAGGTGAGAATACTTTGGCCTGTGTTGCAGAGTGGGTGAAAGAGGGGCAGAGGAGGCTTGATGAGATCGGATAGGTACACAAGGACCAGAGCGTTCACAGCTTTCTGGGCCTTAGTCAAAAAGAGCCCAGATATCATTCCAACCACAATGGAAAACGAAGGGACGGTTTTATACAGAGTGACTTAGCCTCATACTTAAATTTTTTTTATTTTTATTTATTTATTTTTTTTACTTAAGAATAACACACAGAGAGGGGCACCTGGGTGGCTCAGTCCTTAGGTGGCCAATTCTTGGTTTCTGCTCAGGTCATGATCTCGGGGTCCTGGGATCAGGCGACCTGGCACTCCTCGCTCAGCGGCGTCTGCTTGTGGATTCTCTCTCTCTCTCTCCCCCTCTGCCCCTTTCCCTGCTCTCGCCCTCACGCTCTCTCTAATAAATAAATAAATCTTTAAAAGAAATAACACAGAGAGAAAAAGATCAGATATATTTTAAAAAATCACTTTGGCTGCTGAGTAGACACTGGGTTGGAGGAGTGGAAGCCACATAAGCTTTCTTGAGCCTCAGTTTCCAGATCTGCGGTGGTGAGAATACCCATCCCGTGCAGATCAGCGGTGAGTCAGGGTGGGGACACAGTCTGGTCCCAGGAGTCTCCTTGGCACTCGAGGCGCGGGCTGGGATGCAGAAGGCCCCATCTCGGGCCTGGGAGGCTGGCGCCCTAGCTACCCCTCCAAGTCCATGACACAGACCTGGGAATTGCCTAGGCAATCCCGCTGTGGCTCACGAAGGCGACCGCTGGGAGGCGCCGCGGCTCCTGTGCAGTCCCCAAAGGAGGCCCCGCCCACTGGTCCGCTCGGCGCTCGGCAGCTCGGGCCTGCTGCGGGCGAGCGGGGGCGGGGCCGTTACGTGAGGGCGGGGCCTCGGCCGGGGCGCCGGACAGTCGCGCTCCCAAGACTACGGCCCGGGGCGGGGCCTGCGTGCGGGGGCGGGACCGCGGCGCTAGGGGCAGGCGGGCGCCGATGGCGGCGGCGAGGGGCACCTGAGCGGGCCGGGGCCATGAGCGCCACCCGGCCCCAGTTCAGCATCGATGACGCCTTCGAGCTGTCTCTGGAGGACGCGGGCCCGGGGCCCGAATTCAGCGGGGTCGCCCGCTTCGGGCCGCTGCACTTCGAGCGCCGGGCCCGGTTCGAGGTGGCCGACGAGGACAAGCAGTCCCGGCTGCGCTACCAGGTGAACGGCCCGGCCCACCTCAACCCCAGCCCGGGTCCGGGCGGGACCCCAGGCCGGACCCTGGAGAACCCCAACTCAAGGGAAAATCTGTCTAGAGGCCCCAGCCTACGTGGCCACTGATCCAGGGCCCTGCCCAGACCCTCTCAGCTCTGATTTTGGCCCCCAGCCACCACTGGAGAGCCCAGAACCGGAACCCGGGATCAAGTCTCCTAGCCCCAATTGGAAATCCCACCGGGCGTCCCCACCCATCCTGGGTACTGACCTAACCCCCATCCCCCTGGGCTGGAGAGCTCTCTGTACCTGATCCAGACCTCCCACTAAACTAGAAATCTCCATTCTCCCTAGAGGACTTCCACCAACTCTAGGATTCTTTTTTTTTTGGAGACGTGTACCAGATTCCTGTGCCCCAAGCCTGGAAACCATGGGCTTCTGCCCTTCCTTGGCACCCCAAATCCAGAGCCTCCACACTGGGCCCCTGAAATACCATTCCGAAAGGTCCACCCTGACTCCCAAACTTGGGAGAACTCCTGGCCCTGAGACCCACGTGAGGAGCCCTCAACCAGCCCCTGTGGTCCCTGCCACCCCCAACCCCCCAAGCCCCAGCACCCACCTCCTACCTGGGTTTCGGTTTCTGTGAATCATCAAACCCGTTTTGCGGGAGGGTGGAGGGCCAGGTGAGCAGCTGTCAGGCGGCCAGGCAAACAGCTGTGTGGCCTTGCTCTCCTCCTCTCCCTGAGAGGGGTGTAGGAAGGGCCTGGGCCCAATAACCCCTCTGAGCCCTGTGTTCTGGAATAGAACCTGGAGAACGATGAGGACGGAGCCCAGGCCTCTCCGGAGCCGGATGGGGGAGTCAGCACCAGGTCAGGGCCAGGTGGGGACCCACCCTGTACCTCTAGCCCTGTGCTCCTGGCTCCTGGCTCCCAGGTCCCTGGCCAGTCTTCCACCTCACATCCGTCAGCTCTCTCACATCCTGTTCTACAAGGATTCCCTAGCCTGATCCCCACTCCCCTCATGGGTTCCCCTGTCCCGCAGTGTCCCCCTACCCCAGTGCCAGCCACACCCACCCACCCCTACCAGGCTCTTTATCCTGAAGAAACCCCCCAGCCTGGTCTGGCCCCTACCTCTCCACAGGTCACCTGTCCTGCAGCCATCCCCAGCTTGAATCCTCAGCCTTTCTCCACCCTCAGTCCTGCAGAGACCCCCAGCCCTTGGATTCCTTGTCACCCTGTCCCCTCTCAGGGGCCCCATCCCGCAGGAACACCCAGCCCTAGTCCCTGCCCCATCCCCCACCACATCATCATGACCCCTTCCTTGCTTCCTCTGCCTCTCACTGGGCCCACCTGGCCTGCAGGGATTCCGGCCGAACGTCCATCCGCAGCTCCCAGTGGTCCTTCAGCACCATCAGCAATAGCACCCAGCGCTCCTACCATGCCTGCTGCAGGTGAGACCCTGTCCTGCTTAAGCCCCCTATGCTCTGTGCCCCAGAACAGGCAGCCTGGGCTTTCTCCCTCAGTCCTCTGGGTGGGGAAGGGTAACAGGAGGGAGTTGGGCTCCTGTCACCTCTCACACCCATCCTGCTCTCCCGCCACCCAGCTGGACTCAACACCCTTTGATCCAGAAGAACCGCCGGGTAGTGCTGGCCTCCTTCCTGCTCCTGCTGCTGGGGCTGGGTGAGTGCCCTGAGGGTCCCCTGCCTACCCCCAGGAGGGGTCCGGCCTCCCTTTGTGCCGGCTCAGCATCCCCCTTGGCACACTGAGCCTCCCTGCATCCCGAGCAGGCAGCTGGCTGCCATCACCCCACGCCCATTTTACAGGTGAAGAAACTGAGGCCTTGGGAGGAGCGGGCCCAGTCTCCTGGGCACACAGCCAGGATATTACACGTAATTGAAAATGGAACTTGGTTCGGTGCTCCAAACTTTTTTTTCTTTCTTTTTTCTTCTTCTTCTTTTTTTTTTTTTCCTAAGCCCATGTAATCCATCAGGGAGCAGAAGAGTAATAGTTCTACCATTTATTCTGTGTCTACTTCGAGCCAGGTGCAGGGGAGGCTTATTTTCCTGCCTTACGGAGGTCACACAGCAAGAGGGAGGCAGGGCCATGACCCAGAACCTGTGTAGGGACAGGTTCTCAGAGATATCCCTGCCAGCCCTACCCCTAGAGCACCTGTCATTTCCCCTTCTCTGGAGTCTGAGCGTGGATGAGGACCTCTCCCCGCTCCGCACTGGGCACATCCATTGCCCAGATGGGGAAACTGAAGCCCAGAGCAGGCAGATCTCGCAGCCAGGTGTTTTTGGACTCATTCTATGGGGCTGAGGCCTCAGGATCCCCAGAAAGGACAGGGTTGGGATCAAGAGGGACCCATAAGGACAGCCCAGCTGTGGCAGCTGCTCTCCCTGCTCCGGGATGATCAGAGACCCCTGGCCAGAAAGCTGAGCAGCAGCCTTGCCTCAGCTCTGGGTGTCTGTGTGCCGGGGGGGACGGGGGGAGGGAGTCATCGCTTCTCCAGCAGCCACTGCAAGCTGGGCACTGGTCACACTGGCCACCTGCCTTACCCCTCTCATCCTCTCAGTACCCGTGAGGCCAAGCATTACTACCATCCCCGTTCAGAAGTAGGGACAGAGCCTCAGGCAGGTGAAGGGACTTGCTCAGACCTCAGCTGAGTAGATGAGCTGGGATTTAAACCCACATCACGGACAGTACCAGGCCTGGAGGCCTCCATAGACCTATTAAGGGCCTTTGGAGGAATTAGAAAAAGACGCCTCCTCTGAGTGGGCAGGGCCCCCAGCCCTAAGCCAAGGTGGCAGGTAGTATATCAGCCCCAATCCGTGCCCTTTTTGAGGTGCTCTGTGCAGGGCACAAATCCCATAGCAGTCCATGGTAGCCCCTCAAGCCTCCGTGCTATATTGCCCCCCTTGCTGCAGAGCCCAGGTCCCCCACCTCCCCCCAATCCCATCTTCTAACTGGGGACCTAGGACTCTCTCTGGGTCAAAAGTTGATCCAGCCATGACTTCCCCAACACTCACTGTCCTCAGCCAGAGTCCACACCCCTCACCGGGTCCCCAGGCCCTGCCAAACACCTCAAGCCTGGGCTCTTACCTCTCCACTCTTGCCAAAAGCAGGAGGCTCCTAGAAAGCCCCCACCTCCCTCCAGACGCTGGGCCTTTGCCATGCTGCTCCCTCCGTCTGGAGCACTCCTCTCCTTTTCTGCCCGCATCATGACCACAGCAAAGCGTCTGGAGTCAGATCGCCTCCTTCTGAGTGCAGCTCCTTGTGCCTCAGTTTCGTCTTTTGTGAAATGGGGATGATCGTACCTGTTTCATTCAGTCACACTGATAATAAAGCAGTGCAGGTAACAAGCTTAGCCCAGTGCCTGGCAGCACCTGGTAAGTGGTAACTAAATGTTACCTGCTGTTGGTACTGCTACCCCTGCTCAGTTTCGTTGCCACTGCCTCCAAGAAGCCCCTCCCTGATGCCCCAAGGCTCCCATGCTGCCTGATCTGGCCTTTGGGGTTGTAGCTTGGAGGGTCTTGTTGGTTGCACCACTAGGGAAGGGCCATGAGAGCAAGGACCTCATTTGCCTTTCCCTGTGGGATTCTCAGTACCAGGCACGCAGCAGGTGTTCGATAAATATTTGTTGATTGACTGAAAGGCCACATCAAGGAGCAGAGACAAATCTGGTTTCGGATATTTCCCAGGGCCTGCCGGGTGCCCTGCTCTGAAAACACAGAGCTTGCTGAGCTTCCCTGGAAGGGTCTCTGGCTAGGGAACCTTCAGCTCAGCTGGGGGACTGACTATTCCTAGGACCTAAGCCTTTCTGGGGGTTGTGGGCGGAGGTCCCCGCCCTGCCCCCAGCGCCTGCCCCCTCCTCCCGCCCTCACCCTCGCGGCTCCATCTGTGTGCAGTGCTGATCCTGATCGCCGTGGGACTGGAGGTGGCCCCCTCGCCAGGTGAGCGTCCCCTCCTACCTCTGCTGGCAGCGGGGGTCCCCTCAAGGAAAGAACTCGGGGACCCGCGAGCCCCCAGCCCCCTCGGAAGTTTGCTTCCACCCTCCTAAGCAGGAAACGGTCCCTTCTACAGCGGAGAGTGAGAGTAGCCCAGGCAGGGACCCCCCGGGCCCCGCCCCGTGCCCCCCCATCCTTGATTCGGCCCCTCCTCCGGCAGGTGTCTCCAGCGCCATCTTCTTCGTGCCCGGCTTCCTGTTGTTGGTTCCCGGAGGTGCGAAAGGGCTCGGGGGCGGGGCGGGGCGGGGCGGGGCCGGGCCTCGGCGCTGACCGGCCCCGCCCCGCAGTCTACCACGTGATCTTCATCTACTGCGCGGTCAAGGGCCACCGGGGCTTCCAGTTCTTCTACCTGCCCTACTTCGAGAAGTGAGCCGTGGGCGGGCGGCCGGAAACCAGCCTCGTCTCCGAGCGGCCCCAGGGGGCGCTCCTCGGGTCCGCCCCGCTCTGGTTCCCTCATCTCCAGGGAAGAACTCCGGGACCCGGGAGCCCCCAACCCCCTCGGAAGTTTGCTCAGGAAGTTTGCCCAATACCCAGGCCTGGAAAAGTCGCCCCTGGCCTGTTCTGTGCCTTAACTTATTCTCGGGCCCTGGGGCTGCTGGGTTGGTGGTGTTTTGTGCTAATAAAAGAATGTACTTCATTCCTGAAGAGACCACTGATCTTTCTTTCCCAGCCCACCAGCCTGGCCACAGCCCCCCTCCCGCAAAAACTGAGGAAAGGGCTGATGGAGCTGAGGGGTCCAGGACCACCCATTTTCTCATTGTACCCGTGACAGTCCTGATGCTCCTAAGACTTGCTCCTGCGCTTTTGGGGCAGAGCTGGGCCTGGGACTCTGTCCTGCAAGCCTTTTGGAGGTCCTTCCAGCCTCCCATCTCCTCCAGCCCTTAGCAGAGTTGGCCCTGCCCATTCTCTACCTGGAGGCGCTGGCCAAGGGCACTCAGATGACGCAGGCCTGGGGCCTGGAGGCTGGTATCCTGGTTGCAGCCTGGCTCTGGGGCCCTGGGCTGCCACAGCCAGCTCTGAATGTGGGCCATGACCAGGCAGCAACCCAGCCCTCTCCGCCCACTGCCCTACTTCCCAAGTCCTGGGATTGGGAGAAGTAGGGGCAAAGACTAATGGGAAATGGGGCCCATATCACAGAACCTCAGTGATCGAAGACTCTTAGAACCACAGAACATTGGAAACAGGCCATCTCAGACTTTTGGAAAACCCAAGCATCTCAGAATCTTGAGAGCCAGGAAATAGAATCTTCGAGAACCCTGAAATCTGGAATCCTAATAGCTACCATTTATCAAGCTCTTAGAAGGCAGCAGGTCCTGTGCTAAGCACTTAACACAGGTGATTTCTGATAATTACCACCTTAGCCCCATTTTACAGATGAGGAAACCAAGGTCCAGAGAGACTGATTCACCCAGGGGCAGCGTTAGGAACATAACCCAAGGCTTCCATGACACCTGGGTGTGGGAGGGAGAGGAGAGGAAACAGAGCACGTGTGTCCCCAGCTGACCACCCAAGGGGCTGACTGAAGGACTATGGGCTGAGGTAGATCCTGTTCATATACTTAGATATTTACAGTAAACCATGAGTGCCGTTGAGAAGAGATGCGGCCTGGCCTTCACTGTGTCTGCAGCAGCCAGAACAATATCTGTAGATTTCTGTGACTTTGTTGAAAAATTAACCCCCCAGACCTGCTCTCCTGGCCCACTCCTGCTCTCCTGGCCCACCCAGAATTCCCACCCTCAGCCCCTCAGCCCCCAGTCAAGGCACTTTTAAGGGTACCAGTTGGATGCAGGAATTCCTAAATCAGTGGTTCTCAAACTAGCTCTGGTAAAGGACCAGTTTTCATTTCTAATCCATCGTGGACCAGTACTTTGGCAAGATAAAATAAAACCTGGGAAAGTGAAATAAAAAAAGACATATAGAATATAAGCCCACAATCTGTATTACCAGACTAGTCAGACATAAAATTACATTTCAATGAATATAATCAGAACAAACACAGGGAAAAAGGAAGATCATGGAAACCATTCATTGTGAGCAAATAGGCAATTAACACAGAGTTGCTACTATGCTCATACCTTTTTGTCATTCCACAATCTTAACTAAACAGGAAGTTATTCCGGAAGTTGTGAGTCTCCATATTATAAGACTACAGCAGGTATCAGCAAGTGATAGCCCACAGACACAATATGGTCCCCAAGCTAAAAGTGGTTTTTACATTTTAGTAATGGTTGGGGGGGACAGTAAAAGAATAATACAATTTCATGACACATAAAAGTTGATAAAATTCAAATTTCAGTGTCAGTGAATCAAGCTTAGTCAATTAATTACTAAATTTCCAGCCCAGCCACACCTATTGGTTTCTATGTTGGCCATGGCTGCTGGGGGATACAGAGCTGAGCAGTCGTGACAGGAACCACATGGTCCTCCAAACCTAAAATCTACACTGGCCTCTTACAGAAAAAGTTGACCAATCCCTGGTCTATGTGAACACATTGACAGAACACTGAATCACAACATTTAAAGTTTCATCATGACCAGTGTGCTTGATTTTTGCTGGTTAATTTATGTAATCCAAACTGGATTGACACTAACACTATCCTCAGGGAATAATGAATATCTAAACTCTAAATGTAACTTCTTTCTTTGTTGAAAAATACGTCGAGGGGCACCTGGGTGGCTCAGTTGGTTGAGCGACTGCCTTCAGCTCAGGTCATGATCCTGGAGCCCTGGGATCGAGTCCAGCATCAGGCTCCCTGCTCATCGGGGAGTCTGCTTCTCCCTCGACCCTCCCCCTTCTCGTGCTCTCTCTCTTGCTCTCGCTCTCTCTCAAATAAATAAATTTTTTAAAAGAAAAAAGAAAAATATATCAATAATTGTGTCCAGACGAAGAACATTAGATTTCCTCAGTGAATTGTGGCTCATTTTATCCCTAATGCTTTTTGCCTCATAGCCCATTTCTGTCTGCTATGGCTGTATTTATACGAGCTTCCTTTGGTTCATTTTCTCCTAGTAAATCTGTTTTCCAAGTCATCACTTTTGGCCTTTCGGTTCTTGTTATGCTCTTAGATCCTGCACTCAGCTGTGGGGAAGAGCCTGGTATCTGCCCTTTGGTGTCTACTCTCTGCCTTTACAGTAGAAGGACCTCTGGTCTTTAGCTGGGCATGTGGCCGCCCCAAATAAAGACTGCATTTCCCAGCATCCTTTGCAGCTACGTGTACCAGGTGAGGAGCCCTACCTAATGGGGTATGAGTGGTTCACATTCTTTGTCCCCCTTTGTCCTTTGTTCCTGCCTCCAAACCTGCCACCTGGAAAATGCACAAACTTGGGCATACCCCAGGAATGGCAGGGCGGCTAGCAGGAGCTTCGGTCCCTGAAGACCATACAGCTGGATTTCACTTAATAAACTTCTATTCCTTTAAAGCATTGTGATTTGGGATCTCTGTCAGTTACAGGAAACCCAGTCTCATACTGAAACTTTCCTCTGGGGCTGAGACTCTCTTTTAACCAGAAACTTAATTTACTCATAATTATTGGAATTTTTATTTTTTAAGGATTATCCCTACCTTCTGTTTTTTTGTGTGTGTCTTTTTTTAAAGTAGGCTCCATGCCCAGCAGGGAGCCCAACTCGGGGCTTGAACTCATGACCCTGAGATCAAAACCTGAGCTGAGATCAAGAGTTGGATGCTCAACTGGCTGAACTACTGAGCACCCCCTTCCTACCTTCTGTTTTAATGTTTTCATGGACTTTGTTTTTCTTTACCTTTTTTTCCCTCTTCTGTAGCCTTCTACTGGTTTAATCAAGAATTCTTCAATTTCAGGGCACCTGGGTGGCTCAGTCGGTTAAGCGTCTGGCTTGGCCCAGGTCATGATCACAGGATCAATCCCCGCGTCGGGCTCCCTGCTCAGCAGGAAGCCTGCTTCTCCTTCTCCCCCTGCCTGCCACTCTGCCTGGTTGTGGTCTCTCTCTCTCTGTCAAATAAATAAATAAAATTAAAAAAAAAAAAGAATTCAAGGGGCACCTGGGTGGCTCAGTTGGTTAAGCGACTGCCTTCGGCTCAGGTCATGATCCTGGAGTCCCGGAATCAAGTCCCGCATCGGGCTCCCTGCTCAGCGGGGAGTCTGCTTCTCCCTCTGACCTTCTTCCCTCTCATGCTCTCTCTCTACCATTCTCTCTCTCTCTCTCAATAAATAAATAAAAATCTTTAAAAAAAAAGAATTCTTCACTTTCCCTCTATGGATTTGACTCCTGAACAGAGCATTCTCTCTTTCTATACATTAATGATTACCTTTAAATGGTTAACAAATTCTAAAGCTGATCAGTGAAACTATCCTCCTCTAGGAAAGACGAGAAAAAGATTTCAGCATGTCTAAAGTATCCCCTCCCATCTTCCATTTTATTTTGTCTATTATTTTAGTCCCTCCTTTATTTTTAAAATCCTCCAAATTAACTTTTTTTTTTTTTGCAGTCAATGCTTCTTTAGATCCACCAATATGTTTACTGATCGCTTTCCTGACCATAATTTAGTACATACTCTGCCTTCGTTCTGGTCTGAATTTCCTTCTTACAGAAGCCATCCCTTCAATGAGAGCATGTGGGTGGGAAACTCTTCCCAGCCTTTGTTTCCTGAAAAAAGTAGATGTTTTTGCCTTCATTCTTGAAGAATGATTCAGTGAGGTATAGGCTTCTTGGCTGACAATCATTTCTCCTCTGCATGATGAACAGTTTATTTCATTGTCTTCCGGCATTGACTATGGCCAACGAAAAGTCTTCACAGAGCCTCATTGCTGTTCTTGGGTAAGTCATCTGACTTTTGTCTCAAGTTGATTGTTTATAGGGTTTTCCTTTTGTGTTCTGCAGTTCCACCGGAATGCATCTAGATATACATTTGTTTTTATTTCTCCTTCTCAGGCTGTAGTGGGTACCTTTGATCTGGGGGCTTGTCTTTGTGGAAGCCTTTATGGAAAAGTTTCAGCTATCATGTCTTTGAGTATTGCCTCCTGCCCACTCTGTGTAGTTTCTCCTTCTGAGACTCCTAATGACTTTTAACTACTCTGTAATATTTTCCATTAGTTTATCCCTCAGTGCTACCTTATGGGTGATTTCTCAGATGTAGCTTCCAGTTCATTAATCTTCTCTTGAATTGTGTCTAATCTGCTGTTTAACTTATCCCTTGATTTTTTTTTTCATTCCAATGGCTATATCCTTTATTTTTAGAAGTTCTATTGGGTCTTTTTTTTAATCTTCCTGTTCTGTTTCATACTATCCTGCTACTGCATATTGATCTCTTTCCCCTCTTTTATCTCATTTTTGTTTGCATTTACTTTATGGTCCCTTTCAGATTGTTCTATTATATTTTGGGGTGCTGATTCTCCTGTTTGTTGTGTCGGCCATGTCCCCCCCATGGTGACTTGTTTTCTTACGTGATTTGTAATTTTTTGTCATGAGTTCATCTTCAGAAGTGACAGGGTTGTTGTTTGTTTAAGTACATTGGGTCCTGGGTTGAAGACTGCCCTTCTAGTAGTTTCTCCCTCTTTCTTCAGCTTTCCTGCCTAATGTGCAAGCCTGAGTTTCAGGTTCCTTAGGGCAGCTTTTTCCACTCAAGGCCCTGGACACCTGTACCCTTGCCACTTCCTCAGGCCAGTAGGTGGAAATATATTTCGATCCCCTTTTCAAGAACAGGGTAGCCCTTTGAGGCCCTGGAAGGTACTCGGGCTCATGTTCTGTTCCTCAGCCTCTTACAGGTCTTCTTTCACTCATAAGTGTCAGAGCCCAGGCTCCCGAACCTCTCTCCATGGCTGAGGCCCCCATGGCGTCCCCTCTCTCCCACCACCCAGCTCTGAGTTCTTGCTTTGTCTTTAGTACTGGGGGTTATCCCTGGCTTTCTTTCAAGTTAAGCTTTTTTTTTTTTTTCTTTTTAACATTTTTACACAAGTAGTGGGAGGCACCCAGCCACCCTCCCAAATAGCCATATTACCAGAATCCCCCCAACCCTTTCCCCTATCTTTGAATGCTATAGTGCCAGGGAGCTTGCTACCTCCCAAGGGTCTGAAGAGATCCAAATCTTGCTCATACTGGAGAATGATAGGCCACTGGGTGCAGGTTTCCTCCAGGCAGCTCAGGTGGGAGGAAGGTGAGGATGTAGGTAGGTGGGTGACATCACAAGGCAACTTTCCAGCCAGATGTTGCCAAGGGTCCGAAGAAGCCTGGGAGCTGCTTGGTCTCTTCCATGCTGGGGCTTCGTGGGGAGGGTGTACAGCATGAACTCTGCTGACCTGGGGCCAGAGGGGCAACACATTCTCCCTTCTGGAGCCTCAGTGGGTGAGAAGCATCATCACAAACTCTGGAGGAAAGACGGGGCAGAGCTTGGGCCAGTCCTGATCAGGAATCCCAGGAAATGCTGGGCTCCCCCTGGGCGCTGGAGGGGTGGGGGCTGTCTGGGAAGAAGACTCACCATCAAAGTCTACGGTGCCATCCCCATTGAGGTCCACGTCTCGGAGCATCTCGTCCAGCTCAGGACCCACCAGTGGCTCCCCCAGCAGAGCCGGTGCTGCCTGTCGCAGCTCTGCCACTGTGATCCGTCCATCTCTGTCCCTGTCAAACTAGGGTTCCAGCAGGGCTCAGCCCCTCCCACCCAAAGCTGGCTCTGCCTCCTCACGTCTCCATCTTGCCACATCCTGTGCCTGGATGCCCCCACCTCTGCCCATCCAAACCTTCCACCTCCTCCCAGGCCTAGACACAGGCCCCCTGCTCCAGGAAGTCTCCTTGGGTGGATCCCCCAGCTGAGAGTGAGCTGGGCCCTCTCCAACCCCTCCCTGGCCCTAGCCAGGGCTGTGGGCCTCCAGAGGTTGAGGCCCCAGGCTCTCTGGCCTGGATGGGAGACCAGCAAGTCTGTTGTCCAGCCACCCACCCAGCACCCGACTCGACCACTCTCCACACCTCTTGGAAGGCGATGCGCAGCTCCCGCACCCCCAACATGTGCGCTGTCTCCTCCCTCAGCTTTGGGCTCATCAATTCCACAAACTCCTCGAAGTCCACGCGGCCACCCACTGCGGACCCAGGCAGAGCATCACAATGGAGAGGGCTGGGCCCGAGGAGGGATGTCACAAGTGTCACAAGCACCAGCCTCTCCCCAGCTCTGCATCCAAGCCCTTGGGGGGAGGGGGGAGGAGGCAGGAGCCCCGTTCTCCATGGGAATGACGGGGCGAGGTGCTTGGGTGCTCTCGGTGAAGCACCGAAGTGTGAGGGAAGGAGACCAAGGTTTGGAACCAGGCAGCCCCAGATTCAAACTCTGTCTTTGCTGCCAAAGGGGCATGGCCTTGGGTGACTCATGAACCCTCCTTCCTTATCCTGGGGCGAGGATGAGAGGACCCACTCTTGGGTGCTATTGGGGTCGCAGTTCGCGGCTCTTACGTGCTGGGGCCCCATTGGCAGCAATAAATACCCTTTAAGGAGCATGCCCACGTAGTCCCTTGATTCTAATTGTAAAAAGCACCAATAGCCAAATAGCAGCTTTGGGGGAAAGAAAAGAAGCATAGCACTTAATGTTCACATCAATTGTAAGTCACATCCCATTTTGGAAACCATAGAAAAAGCAAATGCAGGTGTTCTGGAATGAAAGGAATCTGATATTTGTCAAATTAGCTAATGATAATCACAAGTGCCCGTCCAGCCGACACTTAATCACAAGGAAAGGCCAGGGTTTGGTCACATTAGGCCTCAGGAGGTTCTTTTCAGGGGCCTAGGGAGTCAGAGAGACAGAGACAGAGAGCCAGCTGCCTAGTACCAGCAGGGAGCATTTTACCACATGTATCACAGGACAGAGGGGCTCCTCAGCTGAGCCCCAAGGGTCTCTTGGATCACTGGTACCTTTCATGACCCCTGAATCTGCCAAGGCTAATGTCAGATGGTCAAAATGCCCTAGAAACCATCGCACACTCCCACCATCACCCCCGCAGACTCCCAGAGCCACCTCCCACCACCCCCTCGTCGTCCCCCAAACCATGAGACTCAGAGAGGCCCAGGGCTGCCCAGCCTCGGCACAAAGCCAAGAGACTCGGGCCCCACCCCGCCCTGGGGCAGTGGGGGTCAGCCACTGACTCCGCATCTTGACGTGCTGGGAGACCTCGATGAGCTCCATCTCGGTGGGCATGTAGCCCAGCGTCCGCATGCAGGCGCCCAGCTCCCGGTAGCCGATGTATCCATCACAGTCAGTGTCAAACTCCTCAAAGGCGGCCTGCAGCTCTGCAGGGGAGGGACGTCAGGCCCAGGCCACTGGCTCAGGGATACCTCCCACCCGCCACTGCCGCCAGCAAGGGCCACTCACCATCCAGCTCCTCGGGGCCCAGCTCGCGGTCCTGCAGAGGCACAGTCCAGCATGTCTCTGGGGCCCATCCTTCCTCCTCCAGCCCTGGGCCACAATGGCCTGGGCAGGGCCAGTCCCACCAGGGCAGGAGAAGGCAGCTGAAGTCCCATAGGCCCCCAGAGAAGAGATGACCACCCCCCCTTCCTGCTCCTGGGGCGCAGAGCTCTCACAGAATGCTGGGTTTGAAGTCTGGCTCTGCCCACTCCCCAACCCTTCCCCCAAACCGCAGAAACCCTGCCCCTACGGCTCAGGCTCCTGGGTCTGGAAGCAGAGGTGGCAGGAGGTCTGAGTACCAGGGACAGGGTGGGCTAAGTCCAAGGGCACAGGTGTGATCCCTGCCCCACCCCCACCCCCGTCCCTGGCCCGGGCCCCCCTGACCTTCCCGAAGATGCGATTGAGTAGGGGCCCGTAGGTCTTCTGAGCAGCATCGTGCTGGGGGACGGGGCGATGCCGGTGGGACTGGCGACGGGAGGCTGGCCCAGAGGCTGCAGGACCCGTCCCCCCTTGTCCTTCTCCAGTCCCAGAGGGGTTCTTGCTGCTCCCTGGGGCTTCGGGGCCCGGGATGGGGGTCTGTTCCTGAGAACTGCCAGCACCTTTCCGGGACCCTCGGAGCCCCCTCTCTTTCTTGCTCCTCTTCCTGGTCAAGGGGAGGCCCTCAGCACCACTCCTGGAAGGCATGACCCCCACAGGAGGCTTCTGAGGGCCGGGGGCCTGGTCTGGGCCATGCTGCCCCCTCGCCTGGTCTGTGGCCATGTGGGGAGGGACGACGGGGCTCAGAGATGCAGTTCCAGGGAGCACCCTTGGTTCTCGGGAACCATAAAGCTGCTTATGCACCCCTACAGTGAGAGCTGATGGCCTGGGATGAGACTTGAGGGGGATTAGGGTAAGTGAGGCAGGCAGCCCAGGCCCTAATCCTAGCCCTCTGCCTGGGGACAGAGCCAGATGGTGAAGAGAACTGTCCTCAGCCACAGCGGTGCCAGGACACAGGGTCACAAGGGGCATCGGACTGTGGCTCTGCCACTCATGAGCTGGGAGGCTCAGCACTTTCACCTCTCAGTTGCCTTGTCTATAAAACGGGGACCATATTGCTGAAGAGTCAGGAACGCTTTGTTCTCGACTCCAGTCCTCAACTCCAGTTGCATGACAGGGGCAGGACTCGGCTAAGAGAGGACGAGGGAAGTCATGTCAGGAGGCAGAGTGCGGGCAAAAGCTGGGAGGTGGGAGAGGATACGACGAGTTGCCCACCGCAGCCCCTCGTGGGGGGACATCGCGGCCGCAGCGGAGGGTGTGTGAAATTGAGGAAGCGAGGCCAGATCACAGAGGCCTTAACGCCAAAGTGAGGGACATGGGGGAGATATCAGAGGAGGTGGACCATGGTTGGGGGGGGCAGTACCCAGCGTCTGCCCGGAGGCAGCAGGGCCAGGGTGAGAAAGTTTTAGCCACCTGGCTCTGCCAGGGATGGGGTGGCCTGGCTGGTCACTCGGCTCTGCTAAGCCGGGGTTAGGGTTTCCCAGCGAGCAGCCCCATGAATGATTGATGTCTTCTCAGCTTGGGTTTCAGGCCCGCCGCCTTAGCGCCGCCAGGCACCAGGCAGCAGGCCCCGCCGGCGTGGGGCCCTGCAGATGGCTGGACCACTGTGCAGGCAGGCACGCCCTGCTCCTTCCGGCCAGCAGCCCGCACCTCACAGGTAAGCCAGGCCTCACCCGCTGGGGCTCAGGGGAGCCCAGGGCTCTGAGCCAGCAGAGGCTGGAGCTTGCAGAACGGGGTCTGCCTGAGGAAGAGCCCTAGGGGAGAGGAGAGCCGAGGGGCTGGAGTCGCGGGCCACAGGCAGGAGCCAGCCTTTGGGGGGCATCTACTTCCTCCCCTGACCCAGCGCTGCCACCAGCACTCTCTCCACCCTCGGAGGGAGACTCCCTCAGCCCGTGAGGGAAGGTGGGGGCAGAGAGGGAGCGGCCTCAGGCCTCTGGGTCCCAGCCACCTTAACCTCATCACACTGCTGAGCCCCCTGTCTGGTGGCCTCAGAGGACCGCTTTCTGCCTGAGCTGTGAGAATGCGGACAGGGCCACAGGTGGGAGTCGAGGATGATGAAGAGGCTCGAGCTGCTTCCAGGACAGGTCCTGGCCTGAGTTGCAGACCTCCCCCTGAATTCATGAACCGCACTTGCTGGGGGGGGACGGGCCTTCTCTGGCCCAGGCTCCTGGGACTGCTACAGGCCCATGGGGCCCTGAGCCTCCGCCTCTGGGAATCTTAAAACACTTGAACCTCAGGATACCAGGTGGAAAGGGGCCTGCAGCAATGTGACCAAGCAGTTTGCACAAACTGTCCTCCCTGGAGCCCCAGGGGTTCTCCCCCTCCTCTAATCTGAGCACTCCCTTCTAGTTCATGTGGGAGCGCCACTGTAATATTTCATTTGAAGAAAACATTCACCAGCTTTTAAAATATGTTTGAAAGCCAAGTCTACTTGGGCATGCTGGGATTCCGTGTGGCAGAATGGTTAGGTCTGAGGTTCAGGCCTGGTGCCTCTGTCTTATCTCCGACCTTGGGCAAGTCACCGAGCCTCTGAACCTTCCCCTCCTCACCTGTAAAACGGATTGTATGAGGACTAGGTGCCATCATCTACTTAAGGGCCCTGGCAGAGGCTATCTACCCAAAAGGTGACGACGATGGCTCAGAGAGGGACAGTGATGTGCCTGGAGATAACACAGCACCCTCTCTCTCATACTCAGCCCCTCATGATTTCATTGGTTCATCAGGCCCCCGCTCTGTGGCCGACGGCATACTGGGGACCTCAGACGGACACTGCAATGGAAGCTGACCCGGGTGCCGCTAGCCTCGGGCCCCGCACAGAGCTGGACAATGAAGACTACTATCCCCAGGGCGTCTGGGACACGGTCTTCCTGGTGGCCCTGCTGCTCCTGGGGCTGCCGGCCAACGGGCTCATGGCGTGGCTGGCTGGCTCGCAGGCTCGGCAAGGAGCGGGCACGCGGCTTGCCCTGCTCCTGCTCAGCCTGGCCCTCTCGGATTTTTTGTTCCTGGCGGCAGCGGCCTTCCAGATCCTGGAGATCCAGGGCGGAGGGCACTGGCCGCTGGGGACGGCAGCCTGCCGCTTCTACTACTTCCTGTGGGGCGTGTCTTACTCCTCTGGCCTCTTCCTGCTGGCGGCCCTCAGCATGGACCGCTGCCTGCTGGCACTGTGCCCACACTGGTACCCGGGGCACCGCCCGGCCCGCCTGCCCCTCTGGGTCTGCGCCGGGGTCTGGGTGCTGGCCACGCTCTTCAGTGTGCCCTGGCTGGTCTTCCCAGAGGCCGCCGTCTGGTGGTATGACCTGGTCATCTGCCTGGACTTCTGGGACAGCGAGGAGCTGCCGCTGCGGATGCTCGAGATCCTGGGGGGATTCCTGCCTTTCCTCCTGCTGCTCGTCTGCCACGTGCTCACCCAGGCTGCCGCCTGCAAGACCTGCTGCCGCCGCCAGCCAAGACCCACGACCAGCCGTGGCTTTGCTAATGTAGCCAAGACCATTTTGTCAGCCTACGTGGTCTTGCGGCTGCCCTACCACCTGGCGCAGCTGCTGTACCTGGCCTTCCTGTGGGACATCTACCCTGGCTACCTGCTCTGGGAAGCCCTGGTCTACTCCGACTACCTGATCCTGCTCAACAGCTGCCTCAGTCCCTTCCTCTGCCTCCTGGCCAGTGCCGACCTCCGGGCCCTGCTGCACACCGTGATGTCCTCCTTTGCGGCAGCTCTCTGCGAAGAGTGGCCCGCCAGCTTCACACCGGCCGAGCCGCAGACCCAAGTGGATCCTGGGGGTCAGACTTTGCCAGGGCCTATGGCCGGGGCCCAACCCCAGGTGACCTCCACGGCCCAGCCACAGGCAGACCCCACAGCACAGCCACAGTTGGATTGTGTGGCCCCCCCACAGGT